GTACCATCAAAAAGTGGATGGTTGTTTGTAGGTACCATTGGTATTGGAGGCTTGGTTCAAATAGTATTCATCTTGTTGATTATGTAGTTGAGGCAAATATTGATAAGTGATGATCATTATCTCAATGCTATGACAAATTGAGTGAAGTCCAAGTGCTATCAACAAATAAGTGCTATAATTCAAGTTGTTGGTGATTCATTGGATATATTTGATGGCTTGCAAATATTTGAGTTGAAGCTCGCTAATTGGATGATCATGAGTTAACCAAGGTATATCTCTTGTTGATCATTTCATTTGGGTGCATATGAGTTGATTGAATAGAATAAATATGTAATGTTGTTTGCTATAAGATGTTTGAATGGATAAATTGATTAGTAGTCAAGTTTGGATTGATTTGTGTTGGATAAATTCATGAGCTGACCTTTAGTGAGTGGTTGAATGGATTTACGTCTTGTGAAAGTATTCAAACAAGTTGGTTTTAAGTTTGATTCACATTTAATGAATTATAACTTAGGTTAGAATAAGTTATTCTATGGCCAGCTACAGAACAGTAGTTATAAAACTATTATCCTGTAGCTGGCTGTATAATAACTTATTCTGTAGCCACTTTGAGTTATAATAATTACTATGTTAATTTACGAGATTATAGTAACTCCTTACTAAGTGGTTTAATATAACGTTATGGTAAATATCTTCATGTGTTATAGTAACCCGACTATCGTAAATATGTATTGACATTATCGTAAATTAGTATATAAAATTATAGTAAATGGAGGTGGATACAGAATAACTTATTTTGTAGCCGGCTACTTAATAGCCTATATATATATATATATATATATATATATATATATATATATATATATATATATATATATATATATATATGTTTTTGACTCCTCGCCCCCGCGTCCGGATGCACCTACGGGTTCTAGTGAGCACTAGTTTTCGGGCGCGCCCATGCGCGCGGTCCACTGGTCACACGTATTTTTTTGGAGAAAAAAAAGATATAATCAAAGTTGGGCTGTATTTTGATTTGAGAAAAATCTGAGGATGTTTTCGCAAAAAACGGTGAGAGTGTCTGAGGAGCGCGAGTTGATTTTCGATAAAGTGGAGGTCTTTTTTGCAAACAAACCAGTGCCCATCCGGTCTGGATTGAGCGTTGATTTTGAAATAATACGAGGCGTTTTTTGTAAAAAATTGTAAGAGGACGTCTGGAGCGCGGGTTGATTTCCAAAAACTTAAAGGAGTTTTTCGTAAAACGACCACGGCTCGCCCGATCTGGACCGTCCGCGCGGCCGATCGAACGGCCGCGAAAAGCCGACGACGTGGTCACCCTGAGGCCGCGTCTGTGGTCACACCAAATCATATCTTTAGATGCTGCTGTTGGAGGCAGGTGAGTCGTGTGGTCAGGTCAGGCCATCCGTTGTCGTGTCGCAGTTGGACACGACACGCATCGCGCCACCAACGGTACGCGCTGCGCCCGCGCCTGCGCGGCGTCTGCACTGCACGTAGATGCAGGTGAGTTCACGACTCCGCCGGCGTGTCGAATGGTTGCAGGCTCGCGTATAGGTGGGCCTTCTCATGCTTCGTGTCGACTTTAGGCGTACTGACACACTGGTCTACGCGTACGCATCCCAATGGATACAGGTCGTGTCATGCCCCATGACCTATCGTGTGTCAAAATTCTTGATACGGTACGAATCAAAATTTATCGTGCCGTACTTTAGGCAGTAGCAAAAGGTCGTGCACGAAAGTCCAAGCTCAGGCTTGCGATCGCCGGTTCGCCGCGGGGCATGATACGGAAGAGTCACCGTCGGCATGAGACCACCAGGAGCATGTACAGACGTACCGTTCAGATTTCAGAGCATCGCCGTGTCGTCGGCCTGAATGAACGCACGGTCGGTGTGGCGACAGCGATCCCCGGCCGTGTCGCCGTCATGCCGAGCTCACCCCTGTCGTGTCACGTACGGCAGAGAAGGTGAAGGGCCCGTTCGGCTTTATTTTTCTCTTATAATCATTCAGCTGGAATAATGTTTTTGAGCCAAATTCAGCCAAGCAAACGGGGTCATATAACTAATTGCACTGCACGGAAGATGCCTAATCCCTGCAGACAAGCAAGCAAGCATGCTTCATTTGACCACTGGCGGGTTGTTGTTGTTGATGCGTTGAACATTCAGAGGGCCGGGGCTGCATCCGGAAGCCCAAACCTTTAATCATCCGTGACGTACTGACGTGATCAACGGTTGCCGCAAACTTTCCCCATTTCATATTTGCACGGCACGCGCCTTCCTGCCTTGCTGCATTGCATTCACCCAACTATCGCAAGAACTCTTTTGTTAGATTCTGAATGTGCTTCCTGGATACCAAAAGAAGTGGAAAATATTATGATATAATGCACAGTGCAGATGAGACAACTTATTACATCGTGATTTATATAGTTCTATGTATCATTTTTTTGAAGAAATTTGTTGCATAGAAAGGTAAAGCATGGTTGTTAGTTAACACCAACCATTTACATAGATGGTCTAGAACTATTGTATATTGTTCAGAAACTCAGTATTTAAGTTTTCAATCTTTTTTTTCAGCAACTCAATATTTACATAGATGGTCTAGAACTCGGCCAGAAAGTACATGCTAACTTTTTTTTGTTCCTTTTGCATAGATCAATAGTGATATCCAAAACAAACACTTGTAGCACGAAGAAAAAGAAAAAGCCCTAGCCATTATGCTGCAGGCATCTTACCAAATGTTGAACCAGCAACAAAAGAACAATACTACGCTCATCAACCTGATAAGGGAAAGCCCAAGCCCCTAAAGAGAAACCCTACTAATTCTCGACAAAACGATCATAAGAAAAATGATTCTTGCATAATCCACATAGGTCTAGGCAATAAGCAAAATAAATGCACCAACCATGAATTTAAGAACAAGATATGCAAGAACTTCATAATGATTGGAAGAAACCCTGCGCGTACCATTCGTCCAGGTCCAACTCCAACATCTGCATCCTCCTTACGATGCCGCTGCTGCCGCTCCACCTTCCTCAACCCAACTAATGACTTGAGCCACTTCACCGAGATGCCCATCGCACCGCCACTCCAGCCGCCTCAACTGCAGTAACCTAAAGACGCAAACTTTTCAGTTTCTGTTAGCACCAGCACAAACTGCAGCACAATGTCACAGGACAGAGGGGGGAAGGAGTGCTCACATTACTTATTAAGTCCAAATTTAGCCAAGAACTCTACCTGCAGACCAGGGGATGCTAGGGGCCACTTGGGGTGCCAAAATTTCAGCATCAGTTGTATCACATGAAACTAACAGCTTCCTTCGTCCTATAGAATGCTTGTTGGAAGTGACGCCAACTGCGCTTGGTAACAACATAATTGTATTAATCAGGTCCAGTTAATGCTCCCATCCTAATAGTAAAAAATCAAATTAGCAATAGAACATTCAGAAATAACATTTGAGCACAAAAGCATATATTTGTAAGCAGAGAGGCAGCAGAAACACCTTCAACAATTAAATGATGGGTAAAAACCAACCCTTTTTCCAAATCAGTGTCAAAATAATTAGAGGGCTAATAAGTATTGAGATGCTAGTAATGCAGGAAGTACTCATGGCTTAGCAATCTCTGTAGAAATTTCAAACCTAGGATCAAGGCCTTGAACAATACAATCTCGAACTGCATAAAAAGGGAGAAAGCATGAGTAAACTGACAGCATAATAACAATTTCCTTATAATAAACATGTAAACTATTAGACAATGAAACTTGAGAATGCTCTGGCCACAAATGGTTGGTCAGCAACAATCGCCAAAAGATCCTCTCCTACAAAATTTAATTTGAGTCAACATAATAAAATTGATAGAATAAACCATAAACTTCTTCTTTTCAAATTGGTAGGTCACACAACATTACCTATTGTAGCAAGTTTCTGCTTCTTCTTTTCAAACTTCTCCAGTAGAAAAAAGGACGCCCATTTTAACCATAGCTTTAAGCACCTGCAAGAATACAAGATTCAACACTTCCCAGAAGGTCGCAGGGTATAGATTATCATCGGTTGGCTCAGGGAAAGGAGAAGGAAGAACCTGTAGGTGGCGACGAGGAGTATAGAGATCCAACGCGGGCACCAATGCGTGGCATGGGACGGGCCGGCGAGCGCGGCTCCGCGTGACCTGACGAGGGTCCCCGTCGCAAGGCCTAGGCCGGGGCAGCGAGCAAGACTCCCGAAACCCTAATTTGCTCATCAAAACTTTTCCCCCAAATTTGGAACCCTAAATCCCGAACTGAGGCATAAATTCGCGATTAGTACCTGCTCTGGCATCAGTGATGCTGCGCCGCCGCTGCCAGGAGGCTCCCCTCCCGCGCACGCGTCAGCGCGCCCTCGACATAGTCTTGTGCACGCGGCCGCTGCGAGACCGAGGCCTTGGACGACTGCGGTACCGGATGCGTCTCCTGCTGCTACGGATGGCCGGTGACCTCACGTCCTGGCGCACGTCGCGGGAGAGGAGTCGCGCGTGCAGGGGAGAGACGGAGTCGCGCGAGGGTGGACAGGGATCGCACAGGTGCGTAATTGATGGAGAGCGTTGGGTGCGGGGGAGGGGAGGAGCGAGGAAGCCGCGGGATCGCACCCGGGGATGCATGGGAGCGAGCGGCTTTGGTGTCGCACCTGTGGATAGAATAATTATGAATGTTTTAGTTGTAGAGATAAAATACAAGTGACATTCTGAGTCGCTGATAACAAAATAGTCCTATCTTCATTTGTCTCCTCATGGTCAATCTTGGAGGCATCATCGGTTGACTGATGATACGTGCTTGGGAAACAAGCAAGCGAAAACAAACAAAGGCGACATTGATGAGAAGACGAGGCTGATTTGCATTGCCGCTGATATTTGGGAACGCCTTGTCAGAATCTATATAAACGCAGCTGCTGCCTTGCTGGTCGTTGCTCACCGTTCTGTGCTTCTCGCACCAAGCAAGCTCTCACCAGCACCCGCGATGGCATCCTCCTCGCCGCCACACGTCGTCGAGGACATGCCCCATGTCCTCCAGCTTCTCAGCGACGGCACGGTGGTCCGGTTCGCCGACTACGACACGCTCCCTCCCCCGTCCGTGCCTCCCGCGCTGCCCGTCCAGTGGAAGGATGTCGTGTACGACGCCACCCACGGCCACGGCCTCAAGCTGCGCGTGTACAGACCGCCGCCGGCCTCCTGCGGTAAGAAGCTGCCAGTGCTCGTCTACTTCCACGGCGGCGGGTACGTCCTCGGCACCTTCGCGCTGCCCAACTTCCACGCCTGCTGCCTCCGCCTGGCCGGCGAGCTCCCGGCCGTCGTCCTCTCCGCCGACTACCGCCTCGCACCGGAGCACCGCCTCCCCGCGGCCCTCGACGACGCGGCGGCCGTCATGTGCTGGGTGCGCGCTCAGGCCGTCGCGGCGGGAGGAGACCCCTGGCTCGCCGAGTCGGCTGACCTGGGCCGGGTGTTCGTCGCCGGTGACTCGGCGGGCGGGAACATCGTCCACCACACCGCCGTCCGCCTCGGCTCGGGCGAGCTCCCCGGGCTCGACCCGGTGCGCGTCGCCGGGCACGTCATGCTCTGCCCGTTCTTCGGCGGGGCGGAGAGGACGGCGTCCGAGGCGGAGTTCCCGCCCGGCCCGTTCCTGACGCTGCCGTGGTACGACCAGGCGTGGCGGCTGGCGCTGCCCCCGGGAGCCACGAGGGACCACCCGTTCGCGAACCCGTTCGGTCCGGAGAGCCCCGCGCTGGGCCTGGGCCTGGGCGGCGTCGCGCTCCCGCCGACGCTCGTCGTGGCCGCGGAGCGGGACCTGCTGCGCGACCGCCAGGCGCACTACGTCGCGCGGCTCAAGGCGATGGGACAGCCCGTGGAGCACGTTGAATTCGAGGGTCAGCACCACGGGTTCTTCACCGTGGAGCCGGCCGGCGACGCCGGCAGCGAGGTGGTCCGGCTCGTCAAGCGGTTCGTGTATGGCAACTCCAACTCCAGTTTCGACCGCTACAAAGTTTCTCTCTCACAACGATCAGTCAGTTTTAGTTAAGTTTCAGACCAGCGAACGGATCCACTCGACTACTTGAGCCTTGAGCCTGTCCCCACGTGGCATCATGACCTTTGTTGTTTAACACGAGCACTTGTGTCATGGTTGTAGTGAATGTTTTGTGTTCACTGGATAAAATGGTCATTGATAGATGCGTGGATGCATGGGGACATGCCACGCGCGGTGGGCCCACGGCTTAGCGAGTCGAGACGTGTGAAACGCACAGAGCTGAAATAATAAGAAATGCTATACAATAAATATGTGTTTTAGAAAAAAAATACACATGAATTTTTTTCTCTCTCTCTTCTCACCGGTGACCACCGGCGCTAGTGTCGGCGACCGGCGAGCTCGTCCCAGCGCCTGCGCCCGTGCCCGCGCAGGTGGTGGCGGTGGCGGTGGCGGCGGATCTGTGATTTGTTATTCCATACAAAAAAAATTATAATCTATGATTTGTGGAGGCTGGAGGTAGAAAAATGGTGAAGGTTGTTGAATCTTAATCTTATGGTGCAAAAAAAATCATATGTTAAAATTGTATAAAACACATGTTTGTGTAGCAGGCGTACTCGAAATAATTGGCCTAAACGCACGAGCACCAAGCTGGATTCGACACTAGAAATTGGAGCGGCAAAATCCGAAGCATCCTGCAGTAACCTGCAAGAATATCCACCTGCTTTCGAACTTGATGAAGGATTCACCACTATTCGTATTCGATCAGCGACAAGCCATGTTAGGTACGGCTCCACCATCAGTCCGTCACCAGCATTATTCGATTTCGATCCGTCGGCTTTAGGGCTATCTTCCATCCAGCTTTTATCAATTCCGAAATCAGATATGAACAGCCAGGAAAGTTTCATTTCATAGTGTCACCGCCGATTTCGCGGATTAATCTATTGCATTGTACATGCTAAGCAGCTAAGGCATGTTCGCGAAAAATAATCTCGCCGATTAATCTATTAATTAACGTGCACAGCCGTCGTCAACGCGACGCTTACCCTCGTTCGTCTTCGTCCCCCCAGACCTGTTCCCGACGAATCATTGACCCGGAGGGAGGAGAAGAAGCAGACCCCACGAAATGACGAAACCCAGCAGTTTCCGCCAGCCGGCAGCGCCATTTTCGTAGCCGAACCGCGAAACCTAGCGCTGGTTTCCACCACCATTTCATGTACGAACTACTACTCACCAGGTACTCGGCGTACGAGCACGTCGAGCGCGACTCGTATTCCACTCGCAAGTGGCCGAGAAAAATCACATGAGACTCCCCGTGGCCAGCTACTGTTTCCTGCCGCCGGCGACGTGAAATTCGCACCGAATTCTTCCCCGCACTCCTTTCCGCGGTTAGTGGCCTTCCACATAGTGGGAGCGTGACGCCGAATCATAACCCGCACCAGCTCCGCCGCCGTGCCTTTCCCTTCCGTTTCGCCTTTTGCTCTGCTTCCCTCCAGAACTGATGTCCTCCTCTGACCTCCCCTGATTGCCCCGCCCCGCACCCCGCTCGCGCTCGCGCCCTCGCCTTGCTTCCACGGCGACGGAAAGGAAACGACGGTTTGTTTGGCGTACGGCGACGTGGAAAGCTCACCCGTACTATAATAATGCAGCAATGGCCCTCCTACCCTCTACCCAATCACATCTCGACAGAATTATTCAATTCAGGGCGTGTTTAGATAAAAAAAATTTAGGTTTTAGCTACGGTAGCACTATTTGGTAATTAGTGTCTAATTATGGACTAATTAGGTTCGAAAATTTCGTCTCACGATTTCTCACCAAACTGTTTAATTAGTTTTTTTTTGTCTACGTTTAGTACTCCATACATGTGCCATAAAATTCGATGTGACGAAAACTGCGCAAAAATTTTTGGAATCCAAACGGGACCTCAATGCTGCTCTTGCTTCCCCTAATCCAGCTGCTCCAGAGTTAAAAAAAAATCCAGCTGCTCCAGCCTAGCTCACGTCGCTTACAACAGACGCCACCGCCACCACCCACCAGCCACCCCGGACTCGCCTCAGTGTCACAGCACGAAGACGCGGCGCTCCGTCACGGCGCCGCCGTGCCGCGCGCCCACCAACCGATAGCTCCCGACGGCGGCGGCGGCTGGATCAGGGCTTGCGACTTGGGAGGCGCGAGTACCCGGGTGCTTACTTCATGCCTCCATGGATCCGGTCGCGGACCCGTCGCCGTCGCGGCGGTCCCTGAAGCGGCGGCCGCCGGCGCGGTCACCGGAGCTGTCGCCCAAGGCGGGTCCGGGAACAGGGGAAGCGGCGGCGGAGGAGCTGATCCGGCGGGTGGAGGAGCTGGAGGCAGCGGCGGAGCGGCTGCGCGGGGAGAAGGAGGCCGCGGAGGAGGCCGCACAGGGCCTGCGGCAGGAGCTCGACGCGGAGCGGGCGTCCGCGGAGACGGCGACCAGCGAGGCCATGCTCATGATCGAGCGCCTGCAGCGGGAGAAGGCCGCCGCGCAGATGGAGGCCCGCCAGTTTAAGCGCTACGCCGAGGGCCGCGAGGACAGGGAGCGCGAGGTCCAGGAGGAGCTCGCCTCGCTCTCCGACCTCGCCGCCTCCTACCACTCCCGCCTCCAGTCCCACGGCATCGACCCGGACTCCTTCACGGACGACGAGGATGAGGAATCGTACGAGGAGGTGGGCGCCGAAGACGTGGAGCAGATCGACATGGGCGCGATGGAGGTGGAGCGGAACGCCCGCGACCCGAGCAGTGCCATGGAGGTGAAAGCCATGGTCGTCGGCAACGACCGCGATGGGGAGGAAGAGGAGGAGGAGGAGGAGGAGGAGCCGTCGTCCCCCGTGGAGAAGGAATTCGAGTACACGGTGGATGTTACCTGCGCGAGCACAACGAAACCAGCTACGTCTGTGGTGGCAGAGTATGTGGGCGACGGGAACTCGGGGGGGTTGTATGCAAGGGTCGAGGCGCTGGAGGCAGACAGGGTGGCGCTGCGGAGGGAGATCTCAGCGCTGCGGGCGGAGAGGGCACAGCTGGTGATGGCCAGGGAGATGGCGCGGCGGCTCTGCTGGGAGATGGTTGCTGAGCAGAGGGCCATTGTGAAGAAAGCAGTAGTCCCTGCGAGCAGTTTCTCAGTGCTCAGGATTTGCAAGGTATACATTTGCTAACCATATTGGTCATTGTTATCGACCCGTGTTCTGTCTAAGTAACATCAGTTTTGTTAGTTAAAGGTGCTAAGTTGGGCACATTTGGAGTGATTCAGTCACATTGCAGGGATTAACTTGGTAGAAAGATTTTCCTGCTGTCTTTGATAGAATAGAATGTTGGCAAGTCTTTTCTGGACGGGAGAAGTAATTAGATCCTTGACATTTCAGTGTTGGGAAGTAGCCATATAATTCGGTGATCTCTTGATGTGGCTTAGAGGAAATTGTCTTTTAGGGTCAGGTGAACTGAAGTGTTATACCATAGAGTGGCCTGATTGCACAAAATTAGGGTTCTAGCGTTTTTTCTTAGGTTCAGTGATGAGGGAGAGGACTACATGGTCCACCTTTTGATTTCATTTTAGTGCGTTGTCATTCTTGGTTAGACTTGTAGGGTGAACTTGCAAAATGAAGTGCTTCTGTAAAACTCAAAGTACTTCAAAATTCAAAATATTGAGAGGAAATTTAATATTTAAGTTTTATGTGGTTTTGGTTCTTGGAGAAGTATAGAAGTAGTTCTCATGGCAGAAATATGTTGCTCTTTATATTCAATTATGTGATATTAGCATCTTGGAAGAGTTGCCATATTGATCATCATCTTCATTTGTGCTTTTTTGGTCAGATCTATTAAAGCATCAGCATTAAATTTACAAATTTTTGCTTTAGTTGTTTGGGGCATAAAGAAGTTATTAATTATCATATTATTGTACCCCATATGTGTGTTGTGCAATTAAGTTAAGATCCATTGCTGCAGTTGATTACTAGACACTTGCTCATGTGATATTTAATATTCTCCTTGTAAGTATCCATATCCATTGTCGGTATATGAGTAACAGTTGGTTGTTTGCACATAATCATATTTATGTATTTTTTGTTAAATTTAATACATGCCCACATTGATGTTTACAAAATGATGCTCGAGTTGTGTGGATGTCATAAACAAGTATTTATATTGTTCTACCTCAGATGCATTATGTGCAATTCAGTAAATATCCATTAATGCAGGCCATAATGGAATTACTAGACAAAATTGTTCTCCCAAAACGTTATGTTTATTAGACCTTCTGACAGAAACTTTGTGGACTGAGAGCAGCTCATTTACCACTGTTCCCGAATATGCCGAGTAAACTGTTGGGACATTTGAGCTTATATTCAGTCAACCATTTGTTCATGTTAGATTTTCTTCAACATGTCAAGGCATACATCATTGAGTGCTGAAAATCGATACAATGACACTGCAAATATAGTACAATAAAACTGTGTTTTGTGCTATCACAGTTCCAATTTGTGAACATACGAAGTTGTATTTGATACTTGTAGTCTGAATATCCGTGCCCATTACATCGCCAAGGTTCGTCCTTGAGAAAACTAACAACTATTTTCGATATCTTTTCTGCAGTGGGTGCTCTCAATACTATTTTGGAGAAACAGAAGCTCTACAGTCAAGTAGGTTATCTATGATGGCTTTATCGTGCATCACCTATTATGGCCCTTTCCACTCTGAAGCGAAACTGAACTGGTGCCGTGGATATTTCGTAGGTATACCTTTGGTTTGTCGACTACGTTCCTTGGCCTCCTGCTGCTTCTCGACAGATCCACATTGTTGAGTCCCTGGCGACGTCTGCCAAGGCCACAAAGATGACTACGGCCTTCTCCATACCAACAGCCAAATGCTCGTCAATCTAGAGATTTGAACAATTGAGCTTTATTGTGCATGTGTATTGGTTCTTTAATGTTTCTTTAACTTTTTGCCACGTACAGTATTGGAGCTGTACGTTTTGGTTCTGAAGCTTTGAGTTGCCGTATAGTGTGTTATTCAGACTACTAGGCATGAATAGCTTGTAATTTGGGGCTAACTGACATGCTCTGTATAGAGTGTACATCATAGTAAGTTGTGGAACTCGATGTTGTTTTGAGTGGTGGTGGTGGTTACTGGTTTGATGCCAGTGTATAGTGTATTATTCTCGCTCCAGAATTCTTCGGTTCGTAGCACTATTTGAACCCTGCCGCCAAAAATTGATGTCATCGCTGCCGCTGAACAAGATGTATTCCCTTCTCATTGCTTAGGTCTCTTTGGATGAGTTTCAGATTCTTAAAAAATTAGTTTTTTGCCTCTAGTTTATAAAATCTGGATTCTGAGCAAAAACTGGTGGGGTGTTTGGATCCCCTAGTTTTCAAAATCTGGCTTCATTTATTGCTCGCAAGGTAAAAAAACTGGCAAAAGCTGGGTATCAATAGCTTATTAGTTTTTAAGAATCTAGCAAAAACTGACACAAGAAACTGGACAAAAACTGATATATTTGGCACCCAATTTTCAAAAGCTAGATTCCTAAAAGCTGGAGGGATTCAAACTGGGCCTTAATTCTTTGCTGCACAAAATCGGCGCTGTGTCCGTTTTTTAGGGTAAAGTCTAATTTTCCAACTTCAACTTTCCAACTTCAACTTCTACGTTAGTTTCAATCGTAAACTATAAAATTGGGTATCATATGTTCAAAACCAGACAAATTTGTCCTCTAGTTGGTTTTAAAGGTGGGTTTTTTTATATTTTAAAAATAATAAAAATTTGTTTTAGTCTCTAAAAATTTACATCTAATTTATTTTGGATCATAATTTTTTTAAATAGTATTTTTTTTGTCGGTGCTCTGTTTAGAGTTATTTGTATCTTATTTGTCTTTAAATAAATAATGAGCACCACTACAAGCAATAAAATAATGTGAAAAATAAATAAAATGTAAACAACTCTAAATATATCACAAACAGATAGGTAACATTTTTTTTAGAAAATAAATTGGTACTCTCTCTATTCCAAATTATAAGGCATTTTAGCTTTTCTATATACATTGCTTTTAATATGTATGTCTAGCCATAGTATATATCTAAGTCTATAGCAAAAACTACGTATATAGAAAAGTTAAAACATCTTAAAATTTATAGCAGAGGAAATACTACTTTCATATATTTCTAATTTAAAATAAAGTAGTTATAAATTTTTAGAGATTAAATCAGTTTTTTACCAAATAGAAATCACCTTTGCAACCAGAGGACCAAACTTATCAAGTTTGGTGGTTGTAGGACTCCCGGTATTTAGTTTAGTAAATCAAAGTTGAAAATTAGACTGACGTACACATTGAAGGTTGAAAAATGAATTTTACCCTTTTTTAATTGAACCTCATAGCCAAATTGGTTTTGATTTTCTATGTGTTGGGATTCATTTCGTCCACTGGAATTTCTAAGTGTTACTGTAGAATGGTTCTTCAAAAGTCAGACATATATAAATGTAGGAGGGATGTATAACCATTTGAAAATACTGTACCTTGTCTATTTGACATTAATGCAATGATGCCGATGCTTATACAATTACACCAAAGACTTTTCGAGAAGGTAAGTCACCATTTCTTATGCAATGAATTGAGGTTGAGGATCAGAACAACTTCTGTATTATAATAACATTTTCTCCTATATATCTACTAGTCACCTGGCATCTCAGGACACAGAAACTCCCATGGAAAGAAGAAATTTACAAGTGCTGCTGCGTGACATCATGGCATGCACAGCACCAACTAAACAGCGCTGTGCGTGTGAAATTTGCCCACCCTGTGTGCATGTGGAAATTTTGCACGAACAGCGCGAAGAAAAAAAACTGAAAATTCTCGTACATACACTCCGTCTATTTGTAGTAGTAGCAATAATAATAAATAGGTTGTGATTAGAACAAGGGGCTGAGCTCCTGGATGGCCTGCATGGTGTTGGGGGAGAAGATGAAGCCCGGGGACATCAGCATCCCGGCGGCCATGGGGGACGGCAGCAGCGTCGTCGTTGCTGTCGCCGGCGGCGCGGCCTGGCGCTGGCCGAGCGTGAGCAGGAGAGGGTCGCTGCCGCCCTCCTCGGCCGTCGCGGGCGAGAAGCTGCCGCTCGGCACGTACGACGACGTGGCGGGAGGGGCGGCGGGCTTGCCGGTGAGCCGCTGCACGACGGTCATGAACTCCTGCGGCCTGGCGTGGATGACCTTGGGCGTGTGCTCGTACACGATCACCGGTTGCTTCTTGGTGGTGGTGGACGGCGCCTTGTTGGACGTCGTGGTCGGCGGCGACGACGACGACACCTTCAGCGGCAGCGGCCGCGTCCCTCGGAGACCGCCAGCAGCTCGCTTGGAAGGGGACGACGACGCCTCGGAGGAAGGCCTGGCGGCCGCGGTCATGGTCATGGCAGCTAGCTGCACCTGCTCAAAGCTTTGCTCGATCAACTGGCGTTGCGTGCTTTGCTCGATCAGCTGGCGACGTGTGCTCTACGGAGTACACGGAGCGGTGCAGTGCAACGCGCGGGGGCTTGCTTTATAGAGAGAGAGCCAGAGAGGGAGATGAGCCGAGAGATGAGGATGGAAGCGAGTGTCCCGCGATCGAGCAAGTGGCGGTGCGATGTGTGACAGTGTGAGTATACATGTCCAAAGTCGCCGGTCAAGTACGGCAGGTGACCGTTGACATGTACCGCGCTTCAGCTTCAGCTTCAGCTCTCGTGAATGAATGAAAAAGTCAGAAGTTCCGTTCGGAAGGTGTCTCTGGTCAAGGAGGTAGGTTAGAAGTGGTTGGTTAATCAGCGGTGCATTCCATGCCTTGTTTTTTTCCCTGTTCGGCAGGCGCGCGCGTAGTGGGCATGCGTGGCGCGTCCACAGCTGTGGAGTCTTTTAGCTCTGTACATATAGTAGTAGTATTTCTTTTCGTTCACGAAACACTCTGGCTTCTTGTTTTTGACTCTCTCTGGTACAGTAGTAATTACTCCCTCCATCTCTAAAAGAATACAATTACGAAACAACATCATGTTTTAATATATCACCTTTGACCAATTATAGATAAAAAATATAAATATTTATAATATAAAATAAATATCATTAGATTAATTCTGAAATGTATTTTTATAATAAATTAATTTGGAGGCATAAATGTGCGCAACTCATACTTGCGTTCTTCTAT